ATGTGTGTGTGTGTGTGCGTGTGAATATATAAGGTGATTGAGTATATATGTAATTAAATACAGGGTGATTATGCACATCCTTGCGCTGTATCAACTTAAAAACTAATGCCACATCATTTTGTCACTCTTTGCAGATTAATCCTAATCTTGTGGCTTGGGCTTCGATTAGAATACACACACACAGCGCGTTTGCATGTCCAAAATGAAAATGCTTCCAGTACAGCTATCACTGAATCCGCTCAATCCCAGCATCTGGAGCGATGTCATCTGGCGCTGCCCGCCGCCGCCCTCCAGCCAGCTGGCGGAGCTGAAGACCCAGCTGCCGCCGTCGTTGCCCTCGGATCCGCGTCTCTGGAGCCGCGACGATGTGCTCGACTTTCTGCGCTTTTGCGTGCGCGAATTCGATCTGCCCAAGCTCGACTTTGATCTCTTCCAAATGAACGGCAAGGCTCTGTGCCTGCTGACCCGCGCCGATTTCGGGCATCGGTGTCCCGGCGCCGGCGATGTTCTGCACAATGTGCTCCAGATGCTCATCATCGAGTCGCACATGATGCAATGGCATCTGCCCAATAGCCCCGTCACGCCCACCGGCCGTTATCCGCTGTCGCCGCACAGCCACCCGCCGACGCCCACCTGGCCGCCGCTGAACGCGCCGCCCGAGACCAGCAATCCCTTCCACAGCAACAGCAGCGCCGCCGCCCACATGGCGGCGCATCACTTCATGGCGCCCAATTCCGTCACGCTCAGCCCGCCGCCCTCGGTCGACTCGCAGGCCAGCAGTCCGCCCCAGCCGGCTGCCTATCAAAATGGCGGCGTCGCCCTCTCCAATGCTGCTGCCGGCACAACAACGGCCACGACGAGCGCCGCTGCCGCAGCCGCAGCCGCAGCCGCCGCCGCCGGCTCCTCCAGCGGCAGCAGCACGGCCAGCAATGGATCTGCCTTGAACGGCTGCGTCCAGCCCATGAAGGGCATCAGCAGTGCCAGCAGCAATCACTCCGACTCCGAGGAGGAGTACTCCGAGCCCAGCAACAACAACAACAACAACAACAGCGGCAGCAAGGCGAATAATCTGACAACGGGTCCGCTCTCCTACAGCGCTGCCGGCAGCCCGCCGGGCACGCCCATACACAAGGACATGAAGCCCAATTGGACGCAACAGTTGACCAACAGCTTTGTCAACTCCTGGTCACAGCAACAGCAGCAACAGCAACAACAACAGCAACAACAGCAACAGCAACAGCAGCAACAACAGCAGCAGCAGCAACAACAACAATCAAAGCAGCAGCTGACGCTGGACAACACAGGCGGCGCGGTGTTGGCGCCGGGCGGAGGCTCCATCTCGGCCCCGACGACGCCCAGCTACATGTACAAAGCGAAGCGGGAATTCTTTCCCGAGAACTCGGAGCCGAATACAAGTGAGTTGATGCATTCATTTAGATCACGATCGATTTGTTGATATCGGAATATTGTTAGTTATCGATACACGAGTATATGTTATCGATAGCTGGGCATATGTTATCGATAAAACACGGCAAATAAGTTTAGATGAAATAGGAAATTAGATTTTTCATTTTTTTCGATTTGTTAATATTGGAATCTCGTTAGTTATCGATATGTGGGTATATGTTATCGATAAACGCCTCAAATAACTTTCGATAAAATGGGAAACTAGATTTATCACATTCATTTGATTGCAGTGGAAACATTGGATTCATATAAAAAGCACTCTTACCTACCTTTCCTTACCTTACCTTACCTGCTGTTCCATTACCAACTATTCCCGTATACTTAGTGTTCCATTTCCAGTCCTAGGGATAACGTTGCATTCTCATAAATAAGTGTTCCAATACCAATAATTCCCATTTATAGTGTTCCACTGATTCCACTGGAATAGAAACAATCGGGGGATAGTGTATATTCACTTTTTAGCTGTAAAGATTTACTGGGTTTAAATACTTGCCTGAAAAGCAATCCATGGGAAAACATGGCATTCTCATAACTAAGTGTTCCATTATCAATTGTTCCGCTTGTTGCAAATCGCCGCTTTGGCAGTTTTCTGAAACGATTTAAAAGTTTAAAAGTCGAAAGTAAACGTGTTTCATTCCAAATGTTACCAAGTGTTCCATTCCCAATTGTTCCGCTTGTCGGAATTCGTCGCTTCGATCGTCTGCAACGATTTAATAGGTTAAAAATCGAAAGTAAACGTGTTTTCTTTCGAATGTTACCAAGTGTTCCATTCCCAATTGTTCCGCTTAGCGAAAGTCGAAAGTAAACATGTTAGTTATCGATCTGGAATTCTTATTTATCGATCACTTTTGAAGCGTACTAATCGATATCCTCTTCCACAGATGGCCGCCTCCTGTGGGACTTCCTGCAGCAGCTGTTGAACGACCGCAACCAGAAGTACAGCGATCTGATCGCCTGGAAGTGCCGCGACACGGGCGTCTTCAAGATCGTCGATCCCGCCGGGCTGGCCAAGCTGTGGGGCATCCAAAAGAACCATCTGTCGATGAACTACGACAAGATGTCGCGCGCCCTGCGCTATTATTACCGCGTCAACATTCTGCGCAAGGTGCAGGGCGAGCGGCATTGCTATCAGTTCCTGCGCAATCCCACGGAGCTGAAGAACATCAAGAACATATCCCAGCTGCGCCAGACGACGACGCCCGTGGTGGGACCAGGTGCCGGTGCTGCTGCTGCCGGTGCGCCAGGCCCAACGTCCAACCAGGTGGGCAGCCAGGCGCCCGCCAGTCCCAGCTGGACGCAGCAGCAGCAGCAGCAGCAGCAGCAGCAACAGCAGCTGCAGCAGTCACCACAGCGTCCGGCCTCGAGAAACGGTCCCAACATGTCGCTGCCCACTGCGGCGGCTGTGGCAGCGGCTGCGGCCGCCGCGTACGGCCCGCAGCCGACGTCGCCGCTCTTCATGCACGCCTTTCACTATCTGTCCGCCAATGCGGCGGCCGCGGCAGCAGCAACAGCTGCCCAGCCGCCCGGCTCGCCAGCCGGTGTGCAGTGCCTGACGCCCGGTGCGCCCGTCTCCGGGCCCGGCGACAAATTCCAATTTCATCCGCTGAAGCTGGAGAATGGCGGCGACAGCGCTGGCGAGGATCTGAAGCCGACCGATCTGAGCGTGAGCAGCAAAAGCGCCGCCGCCAGCAGCAGCAGCAGCAGCAACAACAACAACAATAATAACAACAACAGCCACAACGAGGATTGCTATCCGTAAGTAGCAGCAGCTACACCCAAGAGGCCCACATGCTAATCCCAACCATGGACCTCTATTGTAGGCTCATACGCAATGCCGACGGCCTGACCACCATCAAGCTGATACGCTACAACGAGCAGCCGGAGCTCAAGACGGAGGCAGTCGAGCAGGGAGCTGCTCCTGGTGCAGCTGCAGCTGGTAGCAGCAGCAGCGCGACCGGCTCACCCAGGCCCATGGATGCAGTCGAGCGGGAACGGGAGCGGGAAAGGGAGCAGCAATCGCAGCCTGTGCCCATGGACAGCGAATGCAATGGCAGCGAGGAGGCGGCGGCATTTAGGCATATGCATTAGGCACAACCACCCACCCACCCATCCACACACACACACACATGCACAGATGCACTATGACAATCAGCCACACCCACACACACGCCCACAACTTTACCTGAGCAATAAATGCAGCTGCCTTTGGGACCAGCCAACAACAATAACAACACACACACACACACTCTCATTACCTTTTGTACATACCAACACACACACACACAGACACACGCACATACACACCTGCGCACACACGCACACCTTATGCGCACGTGTGTGTGTGTGTGTGTGTTAATTAGCGCCTAGTTTTTGTCTGTCATTTCAAAAGGCAGCCTTAAATATTTAATTTAAATACACATTTTATACATTTAAATCTATGCATAAGTTACACACACACACACACACAGACGCACACTCACACATTTGTAATTTGATTATATTTAAGTAGTTTTTCTTATTTGGATCGGCGCAGCGCAGCCTTCAACGATTTACAGAGTTATGTGCCAATTTTTCTACATAATAAAACTAAGCTTAACAATTATTAAATTTAAAAAACAAACACACACCGACACACACCAACACACACAAACACACACACACCTTAGCCTGTAAGTGTTGTCACCTTTGAGCTTTACAATGTTGCCTCAACAAATGGTTTCACGTAACATGGAAAACAAAATTGTTAGAAAATATATACAAAAAAAAAAAAATAAAAAAAAAAAAATAAACAAAAATGAAAGAAATTAATATAAAATTAATTAAATAAGAGCATTTGAAATTGTTAATTATAATTAATATATATACACACACGGAGAGAAATTCAAACGCCATTAATTTTCATTTCAAAACAAATTAATTGTGATAACTGATGAAAAACGAAAGAGAATGAATGGAACAGCGTTTTCTTTGATTGTTTATGCTTTTCATTTCAACATTTTGGCCAGGCAATTAAAACATATATATTTTATAATAATACATTGGCTTCCACACACAACATTTTTACGTACTTGTAGTTAGTTTTTAATTGTTAGTGCATAAGCAAAAGGTGTTCAAAAAAACAATTTCTTTTTTATAAACATTGATCTTAACTTTTTTTTGTACATTTTCAAGGCACTTTATTAATTAACACACACACACACACACACTTACACACACATTTAGCATTATAATTATCATACAAATTCTACATACAAGCTGTAATTATTAATTATTAACTAGCCGCATATTTAAGTACACACATATACATATATATATATACTATAATTAATATATAATTTTTGTTTGTTTTCTTTCGTGTAATGCCTAAGTTTAAACACCGCCAATAGCTAATAATTAGCACTTTAGTGTCGCCACAATACCTGTTCTTCCAATTGAAAAATACCTTATCTTTCGATATGATATGTATAAAAAAAAATATATATAAAAATAATATTCTACAAAATATTATTATAAAAAAAAAAAATAAATGAAACAAATTTATATATGCAATAAATAAATGAAATCAAAAACTGATGAAAGCGAAAGCACAGCTCCTAGGGAGCCTCTTTGGTGTTAGTTAGATCAGCTCCTGGTTGTCCAGGAATTCGCGTATCATGTTGCGGCACGACTTGAGCAGCGCCTTGTTGCATGCCGCCGCTGGCACCGCCTTTAGCTTGGCCTTGGTCACGTTGCCGCCGTGCTGGGTGCTGGGTGTCGCCTTGGCCGGCGTCAGGGAGCGTCGCAGCAAATGCGGCGGTATGCGACGTTTCTTAAGCGGCTGCGACGAGGCATCCACAACGGCACGCACTTGCTCCTTGGGCGTGCTCTTCTCCGTTTCGGCTGCCGGTGGCGGCGGCGGCGTGGTCTGTGCCACAGTGCAACCTGTGCCGCCCACCGCACTTATATCGTACTGATAGCGCAGCATGAGGAGCGCAGCGGCCGCCTCCAGCTCCAGGGCGCCATAGGTGTTGGTATAGGACAACTCGTCGGCTTCGAACTTCAGCTTCATCAGGTGGCTCTTCATCTTGCTGTGTGTCTTGTTCAACTGTTGACCCACAAAGTTGTGCGTGCTTGTTTTATAGAAGCTCGTGGGCTTTACCTGCAGCGGAGCGCAGCTGCAGCGGCGTCTGGACTACCTACCAATTGGCGCTAATCCTGACCCGCTAATAAGCGGTCACCTGGGTTAATCCGCGACAGCTGCTGCAGCGGCAAAATATATATTGTGCTTCTTATTACACTGGCAGCAGGCAAAAAGTACGAGACATTTATGGCACAGGTAAAAAAGTACTTCAAAATTCGATGCAACTAAAGGTAACTATTTTAAATGTATCATAAAATAATATTTCTTAAAATAAGCCTCACATTTACTTTAGCCTCACTTGCGGATGCACTCAGACAACATTTGGTTAATTCCAATTACATTTGTCTTTTTTTTTTAATGTTTGCTTATTCCAAAATAACAATTTGATTTGATTATTTGATTTATACTTTTTATCAGTGTGCCAATTAAATGTTTGATCAACAATTTGTGCACCTGGTTTAAAATGGACCGTGGATTACATTGGCCTCAGAAGACTCTTGGTACAATTAATGTTTTATGTACTATGTACTATTGAACAGTTATTAATTAAAATAATAGTAATCATTTCTCTTAACAAAACAAAAACTTTGTTCTTTAAAGCAATCTTGTTCGACTGGATTTGGTTTTAAGTTAGTCGTAAGGCCAATAGATCAACGCATGTTAAATCAATTGGTCGTGACTAAAAACTATTTATTCCAAAAAAATAAAATTAACACTAAATTTATGTTGCATTGTGCCTTTCTGTGTCTGTGCTGGTTACATATACACATGTTCTAATATATATATACATGCATTAAACTGAAGTCTTGGAGCGTTGGGCGTCTGGATGATTGCTTCAGTGTCCACTTAAACTTACATACATTGCTTGTAAATTGAATAGTCCCAAGTTCCTAAAGCCCCACTACGCGTGTATCTCGAACAGTTTGGCAACTTCATTGAGATCCTCATAGTCTTTGTTCTCATTGATTATCGTTCGTGCCAGTCCAATGCGATTGAATAGATTCCACAATAATATGCCAACAATTTTATCGTTTTTCAGATAGAAAATGACGCCCTTGCCATAATTGGGTGCCTCGTTCGGATCGCATACAAGGTCCGGACCGTCGGTCATTTTCTTGTATACATTTTTGCTACTCGCATCGGAGCGTACGTCTATATGACTATCCGCACGCTTTTCCGATTGAGAGGGTAACGCAAACACGCCCACCGTGGGCAGGGAAGAGTCCACCAGGCCAATACCTTCGTAACCAATTTCGGGACCCAAATCAGACCAGAACATGCTCTGATGCTGATATGGTTTTTCTACAGAATAAGTTCAATAAATACATTAACAAATTACTCAAGTATCGGGAACATATTTGCTAACTTACTCGCTCCGGTCATGTTCTCGCCGGCCAGCCGTCCGGAGACGACAGAATGATCATGGTGCTCCACACGCCTGCGGCCCAGCAGCGGATCATAGAAACAGGAAGCATCGCCGGCCACAAAAAGATTGCGACGTGCCTCAAGCTCTGCATTAACTACAAAGCCGCCGAGACTGCGATCCACCTCCAGCTTGGAGGGACCAGCCATGGCCGTATTTGGTGTGCAGCCCACACAGACGACGACAATGTCGGTGAGCAGCGACATGCCATTGTTCAGCTCCAGTTTTAGTTGGGATTCATCCCGTGTGGCGGTCCTTATGCTGGCATCCGGTATCACGCATACGCCCTGCGCCTCCATTTTTCGTGTAGTCCAATCGCTCAAATAATTGGGCAACACCTTAGACATATTGCCCTTCTCCTGGAACACCTGATACACCTTGCCGCCCCCATGCTGCTTGGAGTAGTGGGCCAGCGAGCAGGCCAGTTCACTGCCAACGAAACCATTACCCACAATGGTTATGGAGCGCTTCTGAAGCGCATAGCGGCGCAGACGATCAAAGTCATCGGGCGTGCGATAGACCATTACCTTCTCCTGTACACTGGGTGGCGCATCGCGGAACATGGGCAGATTTTTGGGCGCACAACCCGTTGCAATTAGGCATGCATCGTAGCCGATCTGATAGCCGTCGTTCAATGTTACAATGCGTTTCTGTGCATCAACTTTCTTAACGGCGAAACCTTGAGCGACGGCTATGCCGCCGTTTACGCTGTCTTGAAGCTTCTCGGGATCGACAAAGAACTCCTCCGGCTCAAAGTACAAGCTGTCAATAGAGTCAATAAGGAACCGATTGGCTGAGCAACAGGGGCTGCACTCACCTGCGCTCGGTGCCCGTCCATTGCTTGAAGCGATAGTCTTTGATGGGATCTTCATTGGGATTGGGCGTATACCAGAGCTCCTTGGAGAGCGGCGGTCGCATGTATGGCTTGCGATATTCGTTGCTGATCATAAGTACTTTGGCGCGTGCATCGTTCGATTTGATGGCACGGAATGCTGAAAAGGCAGCGGTGCCGCCACCAATGATCAAATATGGAACATGCTGTGGAATTTTATCCGAACTACGAGGCGCTAAACGCAAATGAAAGATTATTAATATTGGACATTCAGCTATGCATGTGGTTGGCCTTAAGCATACTCGATATTAATCCAGATATTTTGGCACGCTTCAGCGCTTCCTCAGGACTGTCGGCAGTTTCATCGTCGCCAGCGCCACTTCTCTTGCCGCGACGCGACATTAGCCAGGCAATCTAAAATAAGTTAAAAGCAGTTACAATTTGTGGGGAAACTAATATATATGTGCATACCAGGCCACCTGCCAGCAGGGCGGCCAACGCGCCAAGAAAGCATTTGATTTTCAACTGCTTTAATCTTTCCTCGTTGGATTTTTTATTGTCATCGTCGCCACCATCGCCGCTGCCGCCGCTCATGCTGGTCTCACGACGCAGCCGATGGAATTCGGCGCAGGGATCGCTCTCCAGTTCATCGCTCTTATCGACCTTCAGTGCGGGCGGCTTCTCGCACTGCGACGACTTCAGCACATCCTGGGCAGTGGAATTGGGTCTGGTGTCGGCATAGCCCTGCAAGGCGGGAGTAAAAACAAAATAAGATTTAAGATATAAAGACGAACACAAAGTCAATTAAATGAATTGAATGCATTGGATGAATGGGATGCTACCACTCGAAATTGTGGGTCTTGCAATGCGGTGAAGCTGATTTGGGGGCCTTGCAAATTGGACACGGTCGTGGTCTGAGCAACCTCATCGACATCGGGCACAAATTCCACGGTTTTGGCCACTTTCATGCAGGCGTTGTGATTCGGATATTTATTGGCTTGTAATTTAGTGCGTGCCTCGAGCGTACGTTTTTTTACCATTTGATATAAACTGTTGTGTGCCGGCCGGTTGGTGCCTGCAAAACCCAGAACAAAAAAAAAAAAACAAATCAATTGAAATATCCATGCCGGTTACAAAGCGAACATAACCTCATCCATATGGATGCATGCCCCTTCCCCCACCCACCGACCATGAGCCGCTGTCCTCCATCCACTTACCGTTGACCACCTGGGGAAGTCGCTGTGCCGGGGGTATGATTCGTCTGTTGGCTAATATATGCGCCTGTCGACAGAATTTGTGACACAAACATCTCACACTCCAAATGCTCATAATACCGATTCGTTTAGTGTGTCAGGCAACAACAACAAGATTTTTAAATCTATTGGTTTTTCTTGTGTAACAATATAGTATAAACGTGTATGTATTTATTATTGTTTAGTAAGTTAAAAAAAAACCTCGTGTTTTTTGTCGGTATATGAATTATATCTCAGTGAGAATATGACTTGAGTATTAGCACATATATATTTTAAATGCGAAATTAGTAAGACTTTCAATTTTACATCACACACATTCACAATAAACTACAAACTGGCCACTGTTTTCTGGTGTTTACTAACACTGTCACAGTTAGTTCACGTAACTCTACAGCCAGGGTTGCCGTAAGTTATGTTTCATTTCACATTTCAAATTCGAATTCAAATTTAAATTTCAAGCAAATTTCGTTTTTGTTTTATTTTGTGCTTGGCAATAATAAGTTATATATTTTTTGTGAAACAGTTAAGTCAAAGTACATTTGTTAGACTTCATCTATTTATCTGCCACAATTTCTTGCTTGTTAACAGCAGCTGCTGCACCGCTAACGGGTGGCTTAATGCCCATCAGATTGCAGAGCTCATTGCGCAGTGGACGTACTTCGACCAGGGGCAGGGTCCAGTCCGTTTCCGATAGCAAGGTTAGGATTTCATCCATATTCTCTTCGGGTATTTCGGTTACATCGCCGTGCAGCGCCAAGGCTTCATATAGTTTGGTTGCCGCCGTCTTGCGCACATGGACATGCTGCAGGCCCAGGAATACTGACATTTTTGAGAGCACACGCTTGCTGAGCCTGGGCACCTGGATCAGCTGACAAAAGGTGCTAATGCTGGTTGCTGTCTTATACAGCTTCTTATAGCCCCTAACCTCCAGATTGAGCAGCCGATAAATGTCCTCAGCAAACGGATTGGATTCATCATGCAGAACCGCCTCAATGCTGCCCGAGCCGATAAGTATTTCCAAGAAACTGAGCATTGGATACGTGACGCGTTCGTTCAGGAGGTGCCCCTCAAAGAGCTGCACTATCTCCGCGCACAAACGCGGCACCATATCCACATTGGAACGCAAAAACTGGAAAAGGGCAGACGAAGCATATTTGATCTGAAATATATAATGTTATTAAATCTCAGCTTTAAAGTAAATATCCTCGTATACTATACCAGAGATTCGGTGAGCTGTCCAATGCTGGCCGTCAGACCCAGCAAGACGCGCTTGGAGTAGTCAGGCAGAGCCAGCAGCTCACAAAAGAGGGGGAATGTATGATCGGCAAATAGCCAGAGAACGGACTTATCATCACTAGGGAATATCTCGAGTAGACGCCCGTGGGCGCGTATATGTGGTATGGCCGGCTGGGCGTGTATCAGCTTGCAGCAGAGACGTCCGGCCAGGCCGCGTGTACGATCGATTTTCTCCACCGCCTGCTGCATGAAACCAACCACAATCTGGTGCACCTGCTGTGGCGTCAACATATCCCTGGGACACTGTGTGGCCAGTTCGTAGAGCGCCTGCATGGCCGCTTCGCGCACCCAGGCGCCAATGTCGCCGCGATTGTCCAGCGTGTACTCATCCATCGCCTGTAGCAGGCACTCAACTACTTTATTAAAGTGCTGGCGATCTGCAAAGGAATCCTGGATGGCGGCATCGTAACCAACGGTGTGCACCACTTTGCTGAGCGCCCGAACGCTTTGCGTGCGCGCCTCGCTCCATCTATAGGTCTGCACATTCTCGTGATCATCGTAGGCCCCCTGCGGTGCCAGCGCATGCTTCACCAGATTATCCAGGACGGCGTTCAGATGCTGGCGCAACATCAAGGCAGGCAGCACGCCCAATGCAGCCAAATAACCCATGCGCATGTGCTCCTCCAGATCGTTATCGGCGCCTTTCAGATACGCCGTGATAATTCTTTCGTTTTCAGCGTGCCGCGACTCCAGGCAGTAGTAGGCGCTCGATAGCTCCGCAAAGGCCTCCACAGCTGCGTCGCGTATGCTACTGGACTTGGTGACCAGGCCAATGTCGATGACCTGCTGCCAGCTGGCTGTGAAGAGTATAATATATTATAAATAGGTTACTTTTGCATTCAACCCTAGATTTCCTACTCGCTCTACCAAGACGGCTTTCCCGAGATCCTAGATCGGCGGATTTTGCGAAGTGTGAATGAAAGATCTTTAAAAATGAGTTCGGTCTGAACTGATGGTAAACAGAAAAACTTTGATGCAACTACATTCGATCGGATAGTTATTTAAAATAAAGCCTAATACACTTCCCACCAATTTTCCGCAAATGCGAGTGGAATTGTGCTAAAGTCCAGTGAAAATCTGGCTCTGAGCTCCTACGTTTCGGGCAGTGCCTCAGTCAGACAGACGGAACACCCAGCTATATATACATAAAGACAAGAATTAAATTTCGTAACATGCTTGGCTAGACACTGACCTAGGCACTCGGTATTGACAGGCAGCTTGGCAACGCTGCAGTTGCGTATGAAGCTGGCGGTGCAGAACTTCATGAGTTCGCCGCTCATGCCGCGATAGAAGTTGCGCTCCAGGAATGTTTTCACCAGCTCGTTGAGCTCGGCAATGCGCTGATTGGACAGATAGACGGTATTCGAATCCGGCGCCGTTTCCAGCTGACGCAGCGCCAGGGTTATCTCGCCCATGGCCAAAACACAGCCATGACGAGCGTTCACATCAATCGTTTCGGTCTTGGCCAAGAGCTGGGGCATAACCACAGCGGCCATGTACTCTGGCGCACGATAGGTGAGCTTGTGCAGCGCCTTGGCGGTAAGTTCACGTATAGCCGAGTCCCAGTGGCCCACCTTGCGCTGCACGAGATGATCAATTAGCGGCTGGCGATATTCCTCAAACTGGGCGATAAAATCGCTGATGGACAAATAGGAATTGTGGCGTATGCCCACGGAGTAAAAGTCCGTGGTCGTAGAGATCTCAATGCCGTAGGGAAAGTTGCCCAGGCGGCCGACGCTCTCCTGGAAAGCGGCAGAGGCAGCTCGACGACAGTTAATCTCGCGGTCAAACACGGCAACGGTGAGCAGGCCCGAGGAGATCAGCTGCACAAAGGGCTTCAGATCGTCCGGGTTGTAGGCGCGTGCAAAGGCCCAGCACATGTAGCAGGCGGAATCACGTATGTGCTGGCCCACGGACATGTAGCCCTTCATCTCGTCGTAGAAGAGCGCCTGCATTAGCAGTGGCACCAGCTCGTGCAGGCGATAGGGCAAGAGCAGGCCACGCTTGGCCAGCTCTGCAATGGCCAGACAGCCGCCATGCCAGGCCTCATGCGGCTCCAGTGGATTGAGTATGTCAATGACTGAACCGATCACCTCATCGGCCAGTTCCTTGGGCAAGCGATTGGTTACACGGCCCAGACCTTTGGCTGCGCTCCAGCGTATATCGTTGCCTCCGCTGCGCAGGGCTTGCAGCAGCTCCTCAATTACCTCCTCGATGGAATCGGGCACAATTATCTCCTCGCCAGCGGCGTCCTCTTCGGTCTCCACATTGCCCGTCACTGAATCCCCTGCAGCGCTCGACTGATGGCCCAAATTGGTGGCCAGCGAGCGTGTGCCTGTGCATGGAGTAAAAAATGGTGATTAAAATGGAAATTTGTCTGGCGAGGATATGGTTACCGCGCTTGTAACGCCAGCTGGCAATGCGCGGCTTCAGATGCACCAGGCCCAGTCGCTGCACAATCTTTACATAGTACTTGTATTTGAGAAAATCATTGACATCCTTGTACTGACAGCCGACAATCCATTGGAGCAGCTTGTCGGCATATGGCAGCAGATCCTCGCGCTTGCCATGCTTCAGTATGGCCGCAACGGCAGCCAGCTGACCGAACTTAACCTGCAGTGTGTCCGCCTGATGCTGCTCAATGATCCAGTCGAGAAAGCGCTCCAAATACAAGTCCTTGATGTCGGTGCGCACAAAGAACTTGGCCGCCAGAAAGGCGGCCATGTTGCTGCAGGTATCATTCGTGGAGGCGTACAGCTTGCACAGCTCAAATATGCGCTCCATTTTGGGCATGGCTGTGACAACAGTCTGTGGTGGGCTGGCGTGATTGCTCAGCACACAGTTGTTGGCGGGTGCCGGAGCTGCTTGCTCATAGGCATCCAGGCGGGCCATGTGAAAGGGATTCAACACCAGTATGGACATCCAGAGCAAGAGCATGTAGCGCGTCTCCCAGTTGCTGAACTCCTTGGGATCCTGCTGACCCAGCAGCTGGAGCACAAACTCCAAGTCGCTCAGCTCGTGCGGCATAAACTTGACGAGCACCTTGTAGGTGCGCACCTTGCTAATGATATACAAATACTTGAAGGCGGCATCGCGTTCGCCGGCCGGCAAATTCGCTTGGCGTATTTTGCCCAGCAGGCGCGTCAACAGCAGCTCCAGATGTGGATCCAGCAGATGCGGCTGCTCCTGGTAGCGGGACAACAGCTCCGTATACTGCTCAAACTCACGCTCAAAGGCGCCGTCCTGTATGGGCTTCATGCTGTCGATCAGCGCGAGCACCTGGTCCAGTTCGGCAAAGTGCTCCAGCGTATTTGCCGGCAGATCATCATCCTTGACATCCTCGCTTTGTTGCATTGTTCTCGTTTAGTTATTAAAAAAATGTTATTTCAAACAGCCGGACTACGACACACAGCTAAAACTTAAAGTTTCGTTCTTTTCAAGTCTGTTTCTGTTTCGTTTCTGCCGTTTCCCGAACATATGATTCACAGTGTATCGAGAATGGAACGGCAGCTGCTTGACCAGGGTTGGCAACCGGCGTTTTTATACTTTAAAAAAGTCGCGGCAGTGCGAGTTCGGAACGTGTTTGTTTCTGTAAACAGATCGCGATTTGTGTGATTTATTATTATTTTGATTTTTGTGTACACTTGTCGAAACTTTATGAATTAGAGCCAAACAAGTGGGTAGTTTTTGGCTGTGGACAAAGCGCTTGTCGCGGCAACGCGTTTTCGTTCAGCTGCATTTCGTGTATTGGCAGCCCTGACGCACTCGCATTTTTGTTTACACGCCATACAATTTTTTGTTGCCTTTATGCGCACGGATCCGCTGTCCCAGGCGCAGACGAGCTAAATCCAACATTTAAAATGAAATTGGATAACTTTCGGCTGATCGTCGAGGTTGGCCAACGTCGCGCTCTATGGGACTCGACCATGCAACTGAGCATACGCAAAGATGTTGGCGCCTTACAATGGCAGGAAGTGGCGAACATAATGCAGATGGACGGTGAGCCTGATAGAAGTGCTAAATTAATTAGCCAGCTAAGTTGTTAATCTATAAATAAATTTTGCAGTGGCCGTGTGCAAGAAGCGCTTCAAAGGACTGCGCGACAGCTATCGCTCCGAGATACGCAAGATCCAGCAGAAGCGCAGCGAACACTCGAATTGGCCCTACTTTCGAGCTCTGGAATTTCTGCGCAACATATTCGATCCGGACAAGCTGGTGCCTTTCTCGCCGGTGCCCTTTGACATCGACATTGACGGCGTAGATTATGAGCAAAATAGGCTGGACGACTTTATCATTGATGTGGACAACGATGACTCGTTTGATTTTGAAATTATGGGTGATATTTTCAAGCGCGACTCAGTCGAGGCACAGGCTCATGATTCCGGCTCGGATATGTCCGTGATCAATAGACAGCACTTCGATATGTCCGCATCGAACATGTCATCAAATGCCAGATCGGACATCGAACAACATGGCTCATCATCGCCCCGATTGTTATCACCTCTGCTTCCCAAACCGCCGGCGGCAAAGCGTACGCGACGCCGCAAGACATCGTCGTCAACAGATGGACCATATCTGAATGGTCATGCGACAAACGTGATAAAATCGACGCCAGTGCCTCCATTGGAAACAGCTGCCAAAGATGATCCCGACTATAACTTCCTGATTAGCTTGCTGCCGCACGTGAAAACGCTGTCGAGTATGAATAATATGAAATTTCGTACGGAGGTCAGTCGAATGTTAATGGAAATGAATCAGCAGGATATGCAGCCGGGACAGCGTGGCAGAGACCATGCGACAGCCTTGCCAAAACTAATCCCAGCACCGGCCTCCAACTATGATCACGAGCACGACTCAACTAAATATAGTATGAGCGGCACACTGAATGGCAGCGCATTTCTGGCACACAGTTCCATGATAGAGTGTGATGTTAAGATAGAGAACGAACCCCTGTTTTAGGGATTTATACATGAATTTAGCTGTATATAAGTACATACATACAAACATAGATGTTAAACACAACAAATTGGCTATATCCAAAATTAATTTACGGTTTATATGTTCAAATAACATACGTTTGACAAATTCCCCACTCATTGTAAACGCAAACTTTACAAATACATTCATAATTGCTGTAATTATTTCAAATATAAATTTGAACCTAGTTTCCCACTATACTCTAATTCAATGGTTTTTGGATTAAAGAGTTTTCTCAGTCATCCCATCAATGTATGCATAGAGATTTAGTTGTATGTGGTTTACAAATATAAGAGTATGTCATGCATAACTTGTGTCATTTTCTTACTGCCTCTTGTTTCGGCCTTACGGTTAATGGGATATGCTCTAAAGGTATTTCCCATAGCTTAAATTTATCGCAAGTGTTGCCATTCGCAGTGAATGGCAAATTGACGCGCACTACGGTGAATGGTTAATGAGTCAGCTGTTGAATTTTCAAAGGCCGTGTGTCTCTATGAGAGAGAACATTTTGACAAAAAAAAAAAAATTATCTGGATTTTGCCAGCATTTAACTGTGTTCCGCCCAATTGTGCAGTTGCAAGCGCATAATGGGAGATAGTTCTGATGAGGAATATCTGCACACCGAATGGGTGCCATATAGCGAGCGCAAGGAGTGGGCAGATGTGACGCCGCTGCCGCAGGACGATGGGCCCAATCCTGTTGTGTCCATAGCGTATAGGCCCAAATGTAAGGATATAAAACTCATAGAAAGGTGCTCAACATTAAAGTGTCTCACATATTTCAGTTCGTGAGGTATTTGACTACATGCGCGCCATTATTGCCAAGGGCGAAAAGTCTCAGCGTGCCTTGGAGCTGACCACCGAAGCGTTGCGCCTGAATCCCGCCAATTATACGGTGTGGCAGTACAGAAGGGACATATTGCGCGAACTGAAGGCTGACTTACAGGATGAACTGGATTATTTGGAGGAGGTAATTGGACAGAATGCGAAGAACTATCAGGTGTGGCATCACAGACGCGTCATTGTCGAAATGATGAACTGTCCCAAATGGGAGCTGGAATTGACACAAAATGCGCTGGACAACGATGGCAATGCCAAGAACTATCACGCCTGGCAGCATCGCCAATGGGCCATACGCACATTCAAGTATGTCAACTATGATAAAATGCTTTGCAGTACTCTTTAAATATTGTATTCTCATTCGATAGCCTCTATGACGACGAGCTGGACTTTGTCGATCGTTTGATTTGCGAGGATCCGCGCAACAACTCTGCATGGAATCAGCGATTTTTTGTGGTTAAGCATTTAGGTTTCACCCCGGAGGTAATCAAACGGGAGCTCGCGTACGCTATGAATCGCATACGTGTTATTAAGAACAATGAAAGCCCGTGGAACTATTTGGTGGGAGTGCTGCGGCAAACCGAGTCTGGACAGCTTAATAGCCATCCCGAGGTGGTGGAGTTCAGCAAGGGATTGTATAATGCGGGCAATCGTTCACCATATTTGCTAGCATTTCTCATCGACCTGTACCAGGAGCAGGCGCTGCAACAAAACGACAACGAAAGTGCCGAAAAGGTCTACGCCATGTGCAATGACATGGCCAGCAAACATGATGTTATACGTCGTAAATACTGGCAGTATGTGGCGACGCACTTGAAGAGCCAGCTAAGCAAGTCCTCGAACCCGAAGCAGCAGCAGCAATAGAGAAGAGTTGTTCCTAGTTTTGGACTATGTACACGTGCCCAGCAGACATTCTTGATACAGAAATACATACTACATTTAGACTATACAAACCATAAATCTAGTTAACTTATTTAAATTAACACAGGGCCACAACTGGCGCAATTGTGTGTGTTTGTACACGTACATTTCATTAACAATCAGCCAACAAGTTTGAGCGCAACTCTGACTCGTTATCTAAACGCATTTCTTATCTGTGCATACACTGACAAAAGTTTTGTTGACCTTTCTGCTGTCTCAATATTGGTATTTATTTAAATTTGCTTGTTTTAGTTTTTGTTTTGTTTTGGTTTTTTTTTTTTTTTTTTTAATTTGAGTACATACATTATAGCAGTTGTAATATATAACGTTGTCGTTTTTTTTTCTTTTTTTGTTTGTTTTTAATTTGATTTTCTTGCGTATATTTTGAGTTTTCAGAATGGAAATTGATTTTCAATAGGCAAAGGCAACTGGCATTTAACAATGGGGTTTCCATACGAGTGCAATCGAATTATTATTGCCATTCTTTTACCCATGCATAAGTTAAGTACTTAAAATAAAGCAGAAGACATCTTTGGCGTGTTTTGGTTTTCTTTAGTTTGGATCAAAAATATTGTTTTTCTTAATATTTCTCATGTAGGAGCAAAAATCATTGAGAGTACTCATTTGCGCATAGATTTTAATAAAATTTCGTAATAATAAAATATATGTATATATATGTATCTTTTGTTGGTTTTTTTTCTGCTTGATTGGGTATATATAAATTTGAAAAAGCCTATAAGTCCAAACGCAGGAAGTACAATAACATACTCTCAAAATCAAAGCAATATTTCGCTTGGGCCATCGCAAATCTATGTTGAAAATTAGTTTTGAGACTAAAATAAATAAATATATATATATATAGAGCTTAGATAAAGGGAAAGCCTATGCGCATGGCCCTTGCCATAAAACATTTAGTACCAAAACCGATTTCTACCTGTTCTGAGTTTGCGTGGAGCCAGAGAGAAGTATTTATGTTTGTTCTAGTTGTTTTCTGTTTGTGTTAGATTTTTTCCTTTCTTTTTTTTTTTAACAATTTGATATATAGAGTTAATATATATATATACTTTTTTGTTTTAATATAATAGTTTATAATAAATTTATACGCTCCTGTTGTACGCACTGAGCCGTTTTCATGACAATTGTTGGATTCCATTTTGTAAAAGCATTTATAGCAAAAAATTAAAAAGTTTCATTTTGTTCATCTCTAAAATCTGACCATCATAAACAGCGTGTTCCATTACTATTATTAATATAATTATTATTTTTTTTTAAGTTCTTTACGTAGAATATCATTTAGGCGTTTGTTGTCTTTCTTCAGTTTTCGTTATATATATAAAATAAATCCTTTCCGACTAACATTCTTCATTCGTTTAGCAATTTTTTGGTTTTTTTTGTTTGTTTGTTTGTTTGTTTTGTATTAAAACACGCTGCGCTTTGTGTGAGGAAGCTTCATATACCATCTATAAATATACTCGTACATACATGCATGTAAATACTATGTAGATATTCATTTTAGTTTTTTGTGTTGTTGTTGTTGTTTTATATAATTGTTAAAAAATTAACGCCACTTGTGCCTTGCTATATTTTGTTATATGAATAAGTACAATCGACATACCCTCCCCCCTATAGGGCGCCTAGGTCTAGGTGCTTACAACTTTACGTTCATATACATATCCATATACATATATATATGCGTAGCGCTCCAATCAATCTGTAACTCTCTGTGTGTCAGCTCTTTGAGCCGCACTCTACTTATCCTCTCCGATGCCCTCATCAGTTGTGGTCTTACGCTCTCTAGCCTCTTCGTTGCTGATATCACATTTTTCAGCCAACATATCCTCGATGCCCTCGTCGTCCACAGTCTGACTCTCGCCGGGCACATGCTTGCGCAACGGAACAACACACTCGCCCTGAGGTAGTGGCGGAAACTTGGCATAGGATGTGTTACTTATGGTGCCCACGGTGCTATCCTCATAGCAATCGGGTGTCATACGCACACGGCACGTCTCGTATGCCTTGACATAGCCCAGTTTTGTATATAGATTCCTGGACGCATCGTTCTGTGGACGTATGACAACGAAGGGTGTGTAGCCGCGCTCGATGACGAGCTGAGTCAACGCCTTGGCCAGACGGATGCCATAACTGAAAAGTGGAGAGGTTCGTGAGAGTCTGGCCAAGCTGGACACCCAACAGCGATCATTACTCACCCCATGCGTCGATAATCTGGACGTGTTTGCATCGAAAACATAGCGCCATAATATGAATGGACCATCCATGCGGCCAGCTCGTTTGTATCCTTGCGGAATATACCCAAACCGGGCAGGACACGGACGAGTATATCAAATAATTTGACGCATTCGATTTCATTGGCCGGATATAGATCGTGTATGCCCTGGACATTGTCCAATGTCAGCAGTCGCATCTCCGCATCCTCGGGCAGGGGCTCCAGCTCCAGTTCCGTATTCAGCTTGTTGCACACATAGATATCACCACTCAGTCGCTCCATTAGACCAATTTTCGAATAGAAATCATCCAGGCGATTCATAATAGCGATGTGCGTAAAGTTCAGGTACAATGGCTTCTGCCAATCTATAAGTACATCTTCGGTGCGCATCAGATCGACATGTTCGATTTGTGCGGATGGACAAAATATGCCAAATGTTTGGTATATATTGTTGTGGGGCTACAAGAAATTGTGAAGCAATTATTAATAAAACGATCATTTTGAGAGCAAAAAAGTTCTACTTACCGTAAGCGTGCATCCTGGAAAATGTAATATTATCGGTTTTTCGGGCCAATCTTTAGCAACATAAAACTTAAAATCCCAAATACGATCATTCAGGTACGTTTTAATAGTTTGATGAAACTGCAAAGTTAATTGAAGAACATGTTAAACTCTGTTAAGAATTTTAGATAAGGCATTTCCTAAGGGTTCCCTTTTGTGTTTTATAAAAAACTAACAATATCCTAGTCGATGGGCTGCTAGCATTTATTTATTTTCAAAATTGGCGCTAACTTTGCTAACTTCAGTGTTGCAAAAAGCTTCATAAAACGAACACCTTTGGCATTATGTAGTAAATAGTATATGGTCACACTCAGCTGCTTGCTTTCAAAATTAAATGACAGTTGAACGAAAGAGCGCCTGCGGAAAAGTTAGCAGGTTAGCAGATATGATATTTATGTAATTTAAAATGGACTATTTCCTTGGAATATGTTCAAAAGTATGTCAAGTCTTTTAAATTAACTTAAACTTCTTTTTAGATAATACTATTTATAATATCTTTTTGTCAAAGACCCAGAATCAGAACCTTTTCAGGAACTTGATTAGAAATTTGGGTGCAACTATGGTGGACCTCGGACTTCTTGGGATTACGGCTGGCCTTATAGACAAGGTCTTTGAGCGTTCTGCTGACTTTATAGGCAAGGTCTTTGTAGTTGCTCCCTAGAATTGCCTTAAGCATAGTAGGCACCAAAAGTATTCGCTTTGACGTGTGAAGCACCGCCCAAAAGTGTTGCATAAAAAATCGAAACTTAAAACGACACCCCGAACTTCATTGAAGTTGGAATTCTTGAAAAGTTAACCAGCTGAGCTGGTGAGCTGGCGCGGAGCAGGCGACGAGGTCGTTCAAAATTGAACTGAATCGGGCGTAAACTGTGAAAAGAGGTCAGCTGATGGATTGCATGTCTGTGCGGTCTACCGGCAATGGTTCTGCTGGCCCTGGTGCAGGTAAGGTAATTGTTGCTTAAATTACCTGTGCTGTGTGGGCGTGTCTGTCAAGTTGTACGGCCAATATTTATGTGTGCATTTCAAGTGGCAGCTACGGCCGGGACATACCTTTAATGATTCCGGCAGATAGCGCTCTAAAGTTACCAAAATTTCTGAAAGCTCTGATTCATGCACCAAACGAAAGTGTCTACCTTCAGGAATGATTTCCATTTCTGTAAGAGAGAAATACATACAATAAACGTTAAAAGGGAACTCGCTGGCGGATGTTCGATTGTGCTTAGTACTGAATGTGCTCGACTAGTAAACACCCTGTACACAGTTGCGTGACATACGTTTTTCACTTCAACTAGTTGCTTTACTTTCAATCCTTTTTAATGGGTATGGGCTATACAATTTATTATGTATGAGGGTGCTTAATTTGTATGTGCTCGACCAGAGAATACCCTGTAGCCTTCAAATATATCCTGTACTTTCAATTGAATTTAATGGGCATGGGCTATAAAAATTATTATAAATTAGAGTGCTTAATTTAAGAAGAATACCCTGTAGCCTTCAGAGAATACCCTACCTTTCAACTTTTTCCTTTACTTACTATTCTTTTTAACAGGAATGGGCTATACAAATTATTACGCATTATAGAGTATATAAAGGAATATGCTCATTTCAACAAACTTGATGCAAATAAAAAAATAATTACGTTTCTGTTTTCATGCAGATGCCATTAATTCCGCTTCAAATACGAGTACATTTAAAAAAAAAAAATCTCAATTATTGTCTAAGTATAAGTGCAATGGGCTTTTTATTTTTGGACGACCCCCTTCCCATGCTCCCCCCACCCCCCCTCTCTGCACTCACACACGCCCACATTACCAACCAGCACGAAGGCCACGTTTTGGCCTCTCTCAAGGCCAAAGGAATGGATTACAGAACAAGTACGAAAGAAAACAAAATGAAAATCAAATATGCGAAATAAAAAAAGCCGAGCAAAAGCCGATGACAACTTTGATGATGATGCTGTCATTTTGGCTAATATAATATAAGGCCCATTCCCAAGAAGGGAATTACGTGTCGTATGTGAGGGCAATCGCTATTGAGCCAATTTGCAAGCAATTTTAGCTGCTATAACCGCATTTGTAATGAGCCATTGCCACAAATAAGCAGTTGGCTTCGACGGCAAGAAATGTTCTTCAAGGGAATAATAACAACAATCATATATAATAATAGTACATAGTACGGTTATAATATATAGAAAACATATTGATAAAAACACAACTATTGATAACAAGAGACAAGAAAACGATTCGGATTTTCTTATAAGTTTTCTGCTCTGGCTCGAATCTGATATTCGAATTATTTTTGCCATGATTCTGTGGAATCTGTGGAAACTTAAAAAGCTGATCAGCCAGAACTCTTAACTAATATTTAGGCTTAAATTCGAGTTAAGTTGAGAGAACTGATAAATTCGTTTGATATTTGTGTAGACATAAACTCGACCTGCTAACACATTTAGCCTTTTGTTTGTTACACTTTTGGGTTATTTTTGTTGATTGACTAACAATAAAAAGAAATGCCTGTCTAGTTGACTATTCGACTGATTGATGATGTGATTGATTGGCTTTAACGGCAAATATCATTACTCGCATCCGTTGTTTTACTGGGTTACTATGACTATTTATTACAGCTATTTGTGTCGAGGCGAGGCGAGGCGACGCCCAACGCCCAACATGCAAATATGTAAGAGCTAATGCCTCCGGGCGAATATGTGGAAATTAGTATTAGTATTAGTCGTGTTCTTGAATATACTCATGCATCTACGTACAAGTGTGGGTGTGTGCGAGTGTGTGTATGTGTGTGTGTGTGTGTGCTCGTTGTGTGTGGGTGCATGTGTGTCATTTCTTTATGACCACGCAGCTGCAGCTTAGTCCTGAACCGGTTCGAGCTAGTTTTTACATTCAACTGAACCTCAAGCCGAACCAGTTAAATGAACCTTAATTAAAGTAGAGCCACATTTTATTAGCGATTGTTTTGACCCACAAACTGAAACAACGAACAAATGCTTAAAATTTGATATATGTATATCTTTTGTCGAATTTAATGCCATTTTAAAGAGCTCTACAGTCCCAAAATCGTGGTTGTAATCATGAATTTTTTGTATATCTGATAATTTCATACAAAAATTCTAGTTCTCAATTAAAATTTAATCTTTTGTCATAAACTGGTTCACTTTCAAAGGGCTCGGGCTTGAATCTGGGTTCATGAACCAGGACCGCATGGTTCACAGCGTGAACGGAACCAATGATAGATAATTCATGTTTGTGCTTGCAGCCTTGGACCTGACCTGACAGCAGCTGGACAAGATGTGTCTGCGCACTTGCACATCCGGCTGAGACAGCCGGATTAGAGCACATGGCTTATGGCACAAAATCAATACTAAGCATTTCTAATCTGATGTCAGTCCATGCAGGCAGCGAGCGGCTGGGACGAGAGAGTGGGGGGATTAATGCATTGTTGCCAGACACCGCTTCGAACAGTTGCCGTTCGTTCATATTACAGCCTTTGTGTTTGTTTACGTAGCCGTTAAAAATACCGTTGACATTTCGCAGCGGCAAACGGCGGGTGTCACGGCGCACTACATTTCGATTTCGCCGATAGTTCCATCCCGTTACCATTACCCAGAAGTCTAAGGCGAATCAGCCGCCTCTCCCCCTTGTGCCCACAGTTTGCGTCGCACTTGCCAGCCAATTAATTTTGTTTTTGCCTCCCCAATTACAGTTGTACACTGCCTATGATGCGTTCATTTCCATACCCTTACAATGGGCTATATTGTTTTTAGTCCCCGCTTGGTAACTCTAAGGATGTCTTGCATTAAATTTAGTTAATGGTGAGCTACTAATATAATAAACTTTTTTTTAATAAATAATAACCATGTGATTTAATTAGTAGGAGAGGTTAAGTTAACTGAACTTTCTTGTAAATAAATGAATAAAACTGTATCGATTTTTAAAAGTTGATAAATAATTATTTTCCTAGACTATTTCAAAGCTAATTGCTAAGTAAGCTATAGATCTTCCAACTGTTACTCCTACCAACTGTTACTCCTACCTACCTAAAGGGTATTCCAAATTCAACATACATCTTCAATTTTTCTAATGTGCCTAAAGGGTATTATCTTTTGAATTTATTTTTGCTCAAAAGAATATTTCTTAGAAATGGCTTAAGCTGAATGAACCTAAAGGGCATTTCAAATTCAACATAAATCTATAAGTTATATCTTTTACACACTCGATATAGAAATATGTTCATGGGCGAGCAGAAATCGGTGCTTTTTAATTGACATGCACATGTGCAAAATCACATACGCGGTGCATTAAAAAGAAATGCAGAAATTATATCGAAAAAAAATAAGATAATTAATGTATGTATAAGAAAGCACTTACAAAATATATTAAATCCGTTGACCTTGTATGAATTTGTTGTATTTGTTGCTGCTGCTGTTGTTGTTGTTGCTGTTGTTGTTTTTGTTGTTGTAGCGTTTGCCAAGCCCAAAGCCTGATGTTGTAATTATAATTTGAGCTGAATTTAAATATTTTATGTGCTTTTTGTTAATGGCAAATAATAAAGTGTGTCTTTATTAGTTTAATTTAGTTTATTAAATAAATTTGTATTTTTGTTTTTTTTTTTTAGAATTAGTTAGTTTTGAAAAAAACGTGCAGTATGAAAATACGTTTTTTTTTTTTTTTTATAATTATTTCTTTTTTTTTTTATGCGAATCACAGATGCTCTTTATTTATTTATATAATTGATGGTATTCAAAATGTTGGGTGCTTGATTTTGTTTTAGTTTATTTCCTTAGTTGCCTGGTGCGTAGCTTTGATATTATTTATATATACTTTTAGATATTTATAGATGGCAAATTGTTTTTAACTGATGTCTCATGTCGTTTGGTTAGGCCTTTTATGAATGGAGGATGTCGGCAGGCTGCTCAGAGCAAGAGCTGCTACGGCTTACGAGAAGATATATGTATGTGTGTATATATATATATGTATGTGTGTATGCGTGTATATATGTGTGTGCAAAAAGTACTGAAGTTGTGTAGATTGTGTTGTTTTTGCTGCTGCTGCTGCGACTCTTGTGTGTTGTTGCCCCCGTTGCACCTCCTCCACAGACAGGCCTAACCAGCCAGGCAAGCCCAATATTATTTTGTTGGTTCTTGTTGTTGTTTGTTGTTGTTGCTGCTGCTGCTGCTGCTTCTGTGTGTTGTTGTTGTTTTTTTTTTTTGTATTTGTATTGTGTGTATCTTCGGCAGATACAACAACAGGCGTGTGCTAGTCCAGCATGGCGGCTGCGGACGTGCAGTAGTTGGATATGGTAATGCTCTTCGCTTCTTCTTCTCTTCGTCTACTTCGTCTTCTTGCTGCTGTTGTTGCGCCCACACACGCACGCACACACACACACACACTGAGGGACTTTTATGTTTGTATTGCGGCGAGTTGGTATTTTGCAGGTATTTGTATGTCTGTCTGCCTGTCTGAGCGACGATTTCACTTGTTTTCGGCTTTGCGATTTATGTATTTTCACGAAAATTGATTTTCTGCTGCGTTGATGTTGATGTTGCTGCTGTTGGCCTGGTTCTGGTTCTGTTTGCTCTTGCTGCAGTTGTACGGGCTGTGCATATGTGTTGGCTTTGGCCAGCCACAGTATCCTTGTGCGGCGCCTGCTTTTTGGCTTCAGTTATTTGTTTACTGCCAGACCCAGCCCCAAGGACGCGCCACTTGCACACACACAGACACACACGCGCGGCACACACACACACACACACACACACAGTTCGAGAGAAATTGAATGCGTCTAATTTGATTGCTGTTGTATTAAAACTCTGGGCCTGGGCTCCGCTTCTGGTTTGTTCTGGTAAACTTTGCTGTTGTTGTTGTTGTTTTCGCTGTTGCCCTTTTCGCAGTGCGTTCTAATTCGTTGTGGGCTGTGCTTTGTGCGCTTCGCCTTTGGAAGAGTTGTTTGGAATTGGCAAGAGAACCGAACTAATCTGACTGACTGACGAAAACGAACTGATTCAGAATCTAAGGAGCAGAACCAGATGTTGCCACAAGTTTCTATATTTACGTGTCTGTTGCGAATCGGCACTGCAACGTGGCAACGTCGTCGTCGTCGTCGTCGTCAACGTCGTGTTGCCGACATCTTTGTTGCTGTTCTTGTTGTTGTCGGCTCTCGTCTGCGTTTTCGTCCTCGTCTCGTGTTTTCTGGCGATTTGTTTTGCGATACCCTCGCTCGAGACAGTTCGACTTTGATGAACTATTTGCCACGCACGATGCATCCCTTAAAGTGAATGGAAAATTCGTCCTTTTGCTACCTGAGTTTTTGGTTTTTACCTATGCGCTTGTGATTTTTGATGCAGTTAAAGGGGGTTAGTTTTCCATTGGCAAAAACAAAAAAGAATTTTCATCATAGAATTTCTATTGCATACTTTTTGGGCGAGTTGTTTTTTGTTGAAACTTTTAAAACGGTTTTATTTTATCATACTTGGCCCTTCTAATAGATGTGTTTATTTTTTGTTAAAACAATCGTTAAGGACCATCATAATATGAAAAATAAACGAAACTTGCATATGTTTTCCGCTTTTCTTTCTCTTCTGTAGTCTGCATAAAATGGCTGTCCCATATAAATCATGGTCGGCGCAAGTGCATTAAATATTCGTTGCGCTGCGCGTTGTTTATGCATGTTACCAGCACATTTAAATGCCGACTGCATTTGTGTTTGTATTTTGCGCTCATATGTTGCCCATCGCATCGCGGCTGCTCTCTTTCACTCTCGCTCTCCCTTTCTTGCTAGCGCTCTCACACTCACTGTGCCAATCTCTCTCTGCGAAATGAGAGCGAGTGCCTTGTCGGCATTGTTGCTGCATGCAATAGCAGCCAGAAGCATACGAGTCACCAGCCCGCTAACTCTAACCCCCCGTCTGACTCCATCACTTGGGTTAGGGAGTTTCGCGTTTTTGTTTTTGCGTTCTTGCTTTCAAGCTGGCCACGCTGCGCTGTTTAGCGCAACTGTACACCCCAAAACAAGAGCAGCAGCAACAACAGCGATAGCGGCAATAACAGCAACAATAACAGCGCACGTTTTGCATGCGTTTTCACAACACATTTGGCAAAATGGCCACGGCGTCAGCGCAATACGTATACGCCACGTAGCGCCGCCATCAGACCGTGCACGTGTCGCCGGCAAGAGAGAGAGAGAGAGAGAGAGAGAGAGAGAATATGTAGACAATACAGCTCCCCCCTTAACAATTCAACTAATTCCCCACTACCTATGCTCTCCATTTAATACTCTCCTCCTTTTTCTCTCTCTCTCTCTCTCTCTGTTACTCCGCTATGCTCATGCTCATTTGTTTTGTTTACGCCGCACAGCTGTAAGGCAGCCGAAAATCAGTTTAATCGCCATTTTTCGGCCATTTAAAATGCACAAGCCATGATTTAGACCGGGAGGGTGGGAAGGAGGGGGGGGGGGGGGGCGTACTTCTCAAGGTCGCTACCATGGTGTGCGTGTGTGCGTGAATTGACATTTTTATTGGCGTCAAGTGGCGACATTCAAAACTGTTCAAGCTACAGTCAGACAATTACAGTTCCAGTAATTAAAACAGACATACAGACGCGCCAAAAACGCTGAGTGTTGCATTGAAGTTGGCAAATATGTAAGTTGCCTGCCAGGCCATGCATCATGAATCACGCAAGTTCTGCAGCACGCAAAAACAAAACAAAAAAAATGACGCCAGCCTTACGCTTTTGTTACCGCTCCTGGTTCCGCTCCCGCTCCAGCTCCAGTTCCAATTTCACAACAATTTTCTGCTGACAGTTCGCACCACGCTTGGTGTTGATCGCTGTGTGAGTGCGTGTCTGTGTGAGTGTGTGTGTGTGCTTGTTGGTGTGGTTGTTATAACAGATACGCGAATCGTTCGTTATTCGATGCGCCCATTTCCAAGGAAACTTTAGCCATAAAAAGTAAGAACTAAACATATAAAACAAAACATTTCTGCAGTTGTTGGGGGTCTAGCAACGGCATTTTATCAGGTGTTTGGCATTTGCGTTAACAGCTAGGGCTTGTCCTTCACTTGTAAACTTTTTATACACTTGAAAAATGGATCAAAAGCTGCCAAAGCAGTAGAGAAAATATATATTAAAAGCGTGTGTTACCTGTGCGACAGCTTACCCTACCTGCCAGCGGTTCGACTTGTGATCTGTAAATAAAAACAAATAAAAATGTAAACAAACAAGATTAAACATGCATAAACATAGAAACCTTTATACGAATTTTAGGTAAAGTTTTTTTTTCAGTGTAACTACTTTTTGTTGTTTTGAGCGTACAACTGTAAAGTGTTCCGGAATTTATGTGTGGCATTTGCTTATTAAATGCTTTGCCAATTTTTACACAAGACACACACACACACACACACACACACACACACACACATACACACAATTTGGCCAGGCCAAACAAGAATATCCTTCGACTGGGGTCCGAACGGACGTCAGTTGACAAACGGCTGGAGGCTAGAGCCGACTTGGCGACCAAGGTCATGCCGTAGACGTGGTCATGGAGTTTAGCCTTTAATTAGCTTTGCCAGCGGCAGTTCTTGCCGGATTACTCATACGTAACGTGGTGCGCGACAAGGGGAGGCGGCAAACGGAAAGGGCACCTGCTAGGCCCATTGTTTCAATCGACTCCGTTGCAGTTGCGGCGCCTTTGTGTGGTCAACAATGTGCATGTGGGGCACGTGTTTTCTGCCGCAGCGAGACACGGCAACATTAAAGCCGGCTAAAGGGTAAAGCCTGTTAATGTCAGGGTCAAGCGAGTCGCAGTGCTCGGAGGGTATTCGTGTGGGCTATTTTGTTTAATTTTCACATGCCCATAATATGCATAAATCAAAGAAATATTTATTATATATATTCGTATTGTTCGCTTGCAGATGCTATCTGCATCATTCATTTAAAGCCAATTGACAGCGCCGACAGCTGCACACGTTGGGGACAGTGTGCCGCACGTGGCAAAGACAGGCGACCAAATATGTTGACCTTGACATGTCAGTTGACAATTAAAGTTATTTTCATTTGCAATTGGGGACATGTTTATTTAACGACAGCGGTGACATTATGGCCACAAAAAAGGGCATGCATTAAATATTTAAGGCATTAGATGTTTATATAAACCGAATAGCCAGCTGCTAAAAATTCAATAAAGTGGACTAAGTTCGAGGTTAGTTCGTCTGAATGCGCGCGCAAATTTCAATTCGAGATACCAGCGTTGCCACCCTGTTTTGGCATTCACCTCTCTTAAATTCAATTGGAATTATATATAATTATATATAACAGTTCAGTAACAGTTCAATAATCAGGTTAGGTTTTTTCACCAACACCTGCTGCGCCTGTAGCTATTAACTACTGTATACAGTGCGCCCAGCTTAGGCTAAAATATACAAAAATGCAGTATATTTATAATAACAATATTCTCACTGTTGCAATTCAAAAATAAAAAATTGTTGCGCCTTTAACTTAAGTGTTACCAAATATTTGATACAATCGTATTCCAAGTATCGACAACAAAATCAAAGTATCGATAGCGATAAGCTGCTTCGGTCAGAACTATCGATAGGACTTGTTAAACACATATCTAAACATCGCTCATCCCGAGCGCTTACAGTTCTACTTTGTGAAATCAACGCAACAGACGTGTACTCTTCGCTCCAATTTCTGAATTCGCCGAAAATAAAAGCACAAATATATTTATGAATTTCGTGTATAGCGTAAATTTTCGCATAATTTAGCCAGATAAACGTTAAAGTGCAATTTGTTTGTAACAGTGCTAATTGTTGATGCGCACTGCGCTATTTTTGTCAACATTCTTTTGTGTGTTTGATAAGAAACCCGTGAGATTTGTTATAGTTGCATAACCCCTGACCATTGTAAGCGCCAAAATAAGAACGCCCGCAGGCAACAACAACAACAACAACAATATCAGTGCTGCTTATGCAAAACAAAAGAGCAAAGAGCGAAAACCAACAAAAAAAATTCCATTGCGGTGTAGCGGCCGTTGCCGCCGGGATACAAGCCGCTCCCCGCCGGCTCAGAGGCCGTCGAGCTACAGGCGCTGCTCGTTAACGGGGATTTGAAGTGCGCGTTAATTAAACCACGTTAAACCAAGTTTCACATTTACAAAGCCACTTTGCGGCTGGGGCAAGGAAGATAAAACCCGATTATGTCCCAAAATCGTGATACTCTGATACATTTGCTAGCCGGCGCGTAAGTGTTGAATACTATGTTAATCTTGTAGTTTGTTGTTATTGTTTATTGCGCCTTATCTCTGCAAAGCAAAAACCGGTTTTAGTTGGAATCTTGGGCGAAGCAGCAACGGCGCAATTGCGTTTAGTAGTTGCCCAACAACAATTAGACAATTGACCTGCTGCAGTTGCGCGAAAGTTGGCGGTGGCGCCAAAAATAAATAAAAAACAAAGTGAAAATATAGATAGATAGGCAAGGCAAAGCTGGCAAACAACAAAAACCACACACAAACACACACACACACACACACATACACATACCAAACATCTGTAGAAATCATGCATAGTTCACGTGTTTGGTTTATTTTTGGGCCAGCTGCCGCGCGTCCCACGATGCGCGAAATAATTCGCAATAAACGTCACAGGCTCAGTCGTCAATTAAAAAGATTCGCACAAAAAAAGCAAAACAATCAAGAACAAGAAAGCACACGCTCTCCCTCTCTCTCTCTCTCTCTCTTTCTCGCGTGTGGTTTTCATGCCCTTGATTGGAATATTTGCCATTCACCTAAAACATTTGTCATTTATCTCACACTAATTCGCTCTTGCAACTTGCGAACGGAAGTCCAAAAGCAACAAACTTAATAATGTGATTAAATATTGAAGAGCAGCAATATATGCTAAGTGTTGTATAATTTGATTTACTCATTTCGGAACCAGTGTTGACAAAGGGAACCAATAACAAGCTTCAATTGTGTTGTTATTGTTGCGGCTGCTATTTTTAGCTCTGCATCTTAATTTATATTTGTTTTTATCGCTCACCCTACAGCACACCAAACGAGGCATATCAATTTTCGTTGGCATTTTATTTACTGTAAATTCAGCTGACAAACGCTCGGCCCAACCTGTTTTGCGCCTGTGTTTGTCTCTTTTTCCGTAGCGTAACCGAAATTCAATGCCGCTCGCATTGCAAGTAAAATGAAATTTGTTTTTGTTCTGTGTTCGCCTCTTTTTTTTTGTCGTGGTCAGTGTGGGAGCAAGAGAGAGGGAGAGAGAAGTGGTCGGTGTGAGCCGAGCCTCTTGTAGCGTGAAATATAAATAAATTAGACACTGGGAGTGCTTGTTTCTGCGCATTTTGTCAGCGTTCTTTGATAAACACATTTAGCCTGAAACAAAAGGCAACAAAAACAAATAGGAGCAGGATTCACAATAAAGAAAAAAAAAAAGGTTGAGAGTGTAGAATATTTAAAGATGAGTTAAACCCTATCTATAACCCAGACTAGCTCTGAAATTATCATTTAAATAAATAACTATAAAATTCAAAGCTATTCTCGTTTGCAGGTAAACACAGGTAAACAAGTCAAATGCAATTTGCCGGCCGGCTGCATATACATATAGTACTTATATAGAGTACACTATGTGTTTTTAAGACCTATGTGCAGTCTGTGTAAACAGCTTTAAACTAGGCAAAAACAACAAAGCAACAACTCACGTTGCATTTTCTAGTCCCCCCCCTCCTCTTCTGTCTCCCATGCAAGCAACCTGAGCTGCTTATCCAACTGTGCGACCACCAGGTTAGAACTACCCATGTGTACTTTTGTCTAGTATTCCCAAGTATTTCAGCGGTATCTCGTGTTTACACACGTTACTATCGCTCGACTGGTTGGAAAAAAAACAACCTTCAAGCAGCTAACCAGGCACATAGATAACACCTCTATATATATACATATATATATATATATATAAATGCGTATATGCGCAGTTGCTCGATATAAATGAAGTAAACTACAATTGTGACAATTGATGCATCCATTTACTATAGACTATATTGTAAGCCCTTTCGAGTTGGCAAATTGCACATACCCTGCTTCCATTGAGAATGGGCAAGAGGGTAGCTTTTTGCAAAGCAATCGATAACAATCGATATCGAAATTCAAGTTTTGAAGGCTTCTTGTCAAATTTGACACGTAGTTTCCAGAGTTGTTCATACAGATTAAGAATCTTTCATTTTATAGCATAGAAGAAGCTTTAGGGTATTCCCCAGTCGCGCACTCTCGACAAACGCAGTCTTAATTGTCTTTTTATTAGAGGCTGCTCATTTTGAAATATTACTCAAGATGTGTCAATTCGTTTTGGCATCTGTTTGGGATTCAAATTTATCTTGACGTTAATTGGACAACACTAAGGGTATATTCATATAAATGGTTAGATAATACTCCATTAAGGCTAGGTACTATCCTGTATCTTATTGAGGGTATAAATATATATTTTGTGGAATAATATCTTATTAAAAGAATGATAGCACCTATAGAATTGGTTCTTTTATAAAGAACATTTTGTTTTTTTTACCATTTACTTCCTTCTAGTGCTGCTTAGATATTATTGGCAAATATAACAGGTTCGGTCTGCAAGGGTATTAAATATTCGGCACGCCGAAGATACTCTCTTCTTTCTCATTAATATATAATAATATAAAGTTTAGTTGTTATGCTTAAATTATAATTAATTAATAAATTATAATTATTATATTGACCACAGTTGCTAGAAATATAGCTTATTACAGGGTATTTGAAAGCCAAGCTCTGCGCACAGTTCACTCTTGCTTTTTATTTTATGAGTTTAACGAAAGACAAATGCGGCCTGGCATTCGATTTGTATTTTGTTTTGATTTTAGTCGCCGTCTTTTTTGTTTTTTTTTTGTCAAGGGGGGAAACAACTCTTTCTGGCACATTGACTCATTTGAAGGCGACTGCAACCAAAACAACATTTTGCTAATGCAATGAGCAAGAGGGGGAGGGGAGGGGAGACGGGTCGGACAATTGACGTGGGACAAACAACAATGGCACACGGTTATATAAGCATAAATAGATCAGACTGGGCTATTAATAGACAGCGACTGGCTGCATCGCCTCTTGTCTAGACGGGTGCAGAGTTTCCCATGTCAAATAATTCATTCACATTAAACCCAGAGTCAGGTTGTTAAATGATTTGCATTTGGATTTATCTACAAGTTATTTAATTGGTTTTGTTTTTTGACAATTTTTTGGATTAACGTGGCATGTCTGAACGCACGTACACACCTATTTTTTTAGACCTCTTTCTCTCTCAGGCTTTTCCAGCTCTCAACTCCCTTTAAGTTTTTGATATGTGAAATATAAGTTACAGATAAATAGCTTACATATTTTTTTTTTAATTTTATCTTGGCCCGTTTTCTAGCCGGACCAAGTTCAAAATGTTGATTAATAATTGTGTCAAGGGCGCACGTTTTATATCTATTGCCATGGGAAGAGCTCGTTCATATAGAACACATAAATATAGTCCACTTGGCACATTAAATAAACAAATGCGCCGTGTGGCCGAAGACTATTTTATTTACAATTTGTATATACATATATGCAGATTGTTTATGGGACCTTCTAGAATAGAAAAGTATAAATATGCAAACACATATATATAAGTATATATATATATATATATAGTACATGTATAAACATAGAAGGTCTCGTGCCAAGTTCAATGCGATTAAGATGAATCTCATTCAATTTAAGTTATCTTTTTTATCAGCAACTGTTTCTTTATCTTTGTCGCATGCTACACTTTGACCTATAAAAACTTTCCATCAATTTGGCAATTTGAAGAAATATAGAGAGAGAACAAAACTGTCTACAAAACGCGCAAAAAGCATGAAGTAGACGACGTCAAGAATTCGCTGATAAGATTTGCCACCAGCAAACGGCGCCATTTATCACAAAAATAATACTTATATACATATACGTATATGTCGGGGGGTATGACGCACCGTAATGCTGCAGAAGTACCAAAAATTCCGAAAGAAAACATTGCATCGCACCTGTGCGAGGTGCGAGGTTCGTTTGCATTTCTGTCTGCCAAAATTTCCACTCTTATCTCGCGGGCGCGCGTGTGTTGCGTATTGCGATTTCCGAGGCGATTCAGTCAAAAAACAGCTAAATCGACCATTAACCGGTTGCCGTTCTTCTTCTTCGTTTTTGCCGTTGCTCTTTTTTTTATTTATTATATGCGCCGAGAGGCCATTGAGTTCGAGGCATAGATACCGCGGTCTACATGTCCGCATGCGAATGCATTTCATAGACGAGGGTTGGATATAACTTTGTATATCTATTATAAAGAATCGAAGGCGGTTTTAAGTGTGTTCCGCTTGAACTTTGGTTGAGCATTGGTTGGAATCAATGATGGGCAGACAAATTTTGATCATTAATACTTGTATAATATAAGTATATAGTATATATATGTTTTATCCAGTGATGAGCTTTTGCTGAGCACTAGTTGGAATTAATGATATTAATATGTTGATCATTTGGGTAGATATAATTTATATGATATATAGTCCGCCCCTACCTTATTTGACGAAGATGCACGTTAAGGCTGGCTTCCAGCTAATTTCACCCGCATGTATGGAAAAATCGCGAAAAACTTTGATGCTTTTTTCCATCCGATGGGCATAAAATTCATTTTCCAAGATCTAAGACAGAATTTATTTTAAACGAATTTATTTTAAGGCCGGAGCTAGTTTTCTATACATGCAAACATGCATGCATGCGTACATGTATGAATACCTTTGCGGACGTCTGCATACATGCACACATACATACATATGAACGTACATAAGTAAATACATATGTACATACATATTTACCCACATACATACATACGTACATATATATGTATGCATTTTTGAATATAAAAATATATGCATGCATACATATATATTTGTGTGCCTGTATGTATGAATGTATACATGCTTGTTTTTAAATATACATATGCTTGCATATATGCAAACATGCTTGCATGTATACATAAATACATACATATGCTTGTATGTATGCATACATAGTTACACATGCAACCATGTATACGTACATGCATACATTCATACATGCATATGCATGCATACATACATGCATAAATGCATACGCATGCATGCATACATGCATATGCATGCATGCATACATGCACACATACATACATACATATGCATGCATGCATGCATGCATGCATGCACACATACATACATACATACATACATACATACATATGCATGCATGCATGCATGCACACATACATACATACATACATATGTACATACATACATATGCATGCATGCATACATACATACATATATATGGACATACATACATATGTACATACAAAAAACACACCAAAAAAAACACCAAAAAAAAAACACCAAAAAAAAACACCAAAAAAAAAACACCAAAAAAAAACACCAAAAAAAAAACACCAAAAAAAAAAAACACCAAAAAAAAACACTACACTACTAGCTAGGAAGGAAAAATAGCACAGCCTACATGAATTTTTGAGAATCGAGGAGTAGAGCACCTGGTAGAAATTCGTTTTATTTAAACTGGCAGGACAGCGACAATTGCGCTTTGATTACGTTTGGACAAACATACATGCATACATATGTACATAGATGCATACATACATACATGCACACCCACCCACACACACACACACCCACACACACACACACACATACATACATACACACAAAATACTTGTACAATTTCATGCAGTAGTCTAAAGGGTACACCAATTGAACGAAATGCAACAAACGAACCTAATGAATAACAATTGAAAACTATATTATATAAGCGTATCGTTCAAATATTTGATTGCATATAATTGTCTTTATATTCTCTGGCAATAAAAAAAATATGACTAGCGTGAAGCAACATTGTTCCTAGCTGTCATATATCTAATTGGATCATTAAATTAGAGATTCCAATTAGACATAACTCGGCACGAGATTTAACAGAATCTATAAATATTTCCAACACACATTGAAAATGGGTAAAAGTGGAAAACAGAACCTCTTAAAGTATATTTATTCTTCATCAGCGGCAAAAGTCGAGTAGATTTTGTTTTTTCTTATGTATTTTTTTTGTATTTAAACCTAGGTCTTAACGTTTTAACTGTGTGTGGATCGTTAATCTATATTTGTTTAATTTATTCTAATTATCATATGGAGTCTAATTTTATAGAGTTCCAAACGTGCTCCAAATAGTTTAATAAACGAAAATAAAACCAGAATAATTTCAAGCTTGACCTTCCGTTTGTAATGTGCGCTTGGTTCTATATTCTACAAAAAATGGTTAAGTTCATCAATTTATTTATAATAATATTAATATTTCAATTAAATGTTCGTATTAGTTATTAGCATTCGTGCTGAGCTAGAATTTCAGATGAAAGCCATTGAAAATGGCGCTTAAAATGTTTGAATAGTTTTTGCTTTTCATGCAAATTATATGACTATTGTTTAAACAATTGCATGCAGCTCATATTAATTTAATTTTCGTATTATTATACACAGTCAACCCTTTAGAAGTTCGTAAACATATTTGATTACAATTTAATTTCGCTGCGCTTGTAATTTGTCACATTTCAATGATTTTGCTGCATTCCACTGATTAGTCTATTGTCTGTGAGCTATATATATAAATATATATATATATAGTACAGTCATCTGTTTGTCCATCTGTCTGATGTGCTTGCCTCGCCATAATGATGAAATTCAATATGCGAGTGTTCAAGTCTTCTCGTTAATGTGTTGATTCAATTTGTCCAATAATTCTGATTGTTGTGATATATGCCCGACTTCAATATGCGGAGTGTCTAATAGGGTCTCCAACTTCCCCAAGTTTCTCGGTCTATAATTAAACATATGGCGTGTTCGAGGTCTGGCGTGTTTTTTTTTTTTGTTTTTTACCGGTTTCCCGAGAGCCTCATTATGTCACATGCCAGAGCTGAATTGGGTTTGCAGCTAACTTTTATATGTATTCCAATATAGTATAAGGAACATAAGTCAAATCAGAACGTGGCCCGTCGGCGACTGCTTCTGCTTCTGCTCCTGCTGCTGCTGCTGATAAGCTCACGCGGCTTTGTCCGTCATTGGCAATTCATTCGTCGGGCTCAGGTTATCAATCGGGGGTCAGCTCGCAGCCGGACAAAACCGGTTCTCGTTTGGCCCCTGCTGCAAGCACAAATAGATTTGTGAAATTGTTTACTAGTTACTAGTTTCCAGTCGCCAGCAGCAGCAGCTGCTAATGAAAGGGGCCTCCGATTTGCCCGATAAGCTGTCAAAGCCTGAACTTACAAAGTACATGCGATAAGAATGAGGGGGGCAACATTATCACAGAGCTACGATATATAAAGAAAACCTCATTGATTCAGCCGGCAAGCGGCAGATATCGCGTGATTTTGTGAGGCATGTGTGTATCTCAGTCGGGCGTGCGCGACGAGGCGATACCCTCAATCTTCTACCAACACCAAATGCAGGCGTAAAATGAGAGATACTTGATCTCTATATACTATTCTAGAAACCAAATTTCAAAAATGGTGCGTCTAGTTCTTAAAGCCCAAGAGATTTGGCCAAAAAGAGGTTATCGATATCGATATTTATCGATTGCTTGCAGTTATCGGGACAGTTATCGCTTAATCGGAAGCAAATGGATTGACTCAAGTACTGTTGGTGATCGAGAATATATTTACTTTATGGAGTCGCAGATGCTTCGCACTGCCTGTTACATACCTTTTCACAGAATCAATATAACCTTTTAAAGTATTTTCTTTTCCAAAATTACAGCATCAACTCTATATATTTCAATATTTAATTGTTTATCCATTTTCAACATAATATATTTATCTGTTTGTGCATTTAAGTTGATTCATGAAATTGTCACTCATTAAAATTTGTTTTTCCCAACATTGTTGTTGACATTTTCCATCGATCAAACTTTCGCTTCACTTTGTTGCTTTAATTTACGAGCCTGACAAACAAGGCGAAAGGTTTTTCCTATTTACCCACAGAGAGGACTCTTACATAAAGACTTTTGTTAATTGAATTGATTGTTGTTTAAGTACACAATAAAGTTACACAATGAAATATAAACAAATTTTTCACGTTTTTTTGTGGTTGCCAAGCGCCAGTTTACAAGTTTCAAATTGAGTCACGAGTTTTGTTCCTCAGATAAGAATGTTTTCCTACTTCGTTTATCAAAGGTTCTATTCAGAATATTTACTGTGGTACTTATTAGGCAAGGTCTGGGGCTTGGGCTACTTAAATTAAGCGTTTTCAGCGTATTCTAGACTTTGAAACGAAAAGTAAATGAAATCATAGGATATAATCATAGGATAGACAAAGAATCAATTTATTCCTGAGTCACAAGCTTTGTTAGTTTTGCATTGCAAATTGCAGCCCGATTTGCAGTGCATTGCAAATGATTTCGCAATTCCGGCGAATTTCATATGGAAACCATAAATCGATCATCTGATATAAATATAATTGAGAAACAATTTCAAAATCGAAATTGTTTAGCCAAAAACAATAATTGTCTTCAGGGTCTGATGCCAAATACGTTTTTATTTTTCCGCTGCTCGCATTTCAACAAATTGCGAAACGTCAGGCAATTTTTTCGAATTTCTAATACAGTAAAAGCCCGCTTTAGTGGACAGATGTGTTGGAAAATCAATAAAAGAGACAAAAACTTTTGCATGTGCAATTAACTTTTAACAGATTAACATGTTTGCTAAAGAAAAGAAAAGCGGAACGAGGAATAGAAATATATATATTTATAAATTAAGCATATGTTCGTCTGTCAAGTGCTCACTGTATTTGAAAAGTTTTCGTATACTTTCCTCGCATTTAGTCATATTTATAGAACCTATTTGTGATTTGTGTGTGTGCCTTGGTGTCTTTACAGATCGGCGGGCACAGTTGGCGCTGTGGTAACATGTCCCCTGGAGGTGGTCAAGACGCGTCTACAGAGCTCGACGGCGTTTTTGCCGCCGTCAACGCGGATTGTTGAGCCCGCTGGCGGGCCGGCGAACGGTGGCGCCTCCGAGCTGCTGCGGCCGGAACAACGACGTAAGCTAAGCACAACGATATTACGTAACAGATCACAGCCACAGGTGATTGGGGGTGTCCGTAGGGTAGTACCAAATTTTTATTATTATTATTTGAATGCCTATCATCTGTTCTCATTGTCATTGTCTGTTTTAATTTTTCTAAAAAAAAAAAAAAAAAAAAAAAAACGATCAAGAGTCAAAACACTTCATGAACATCGCTTTATCGTTTATCGATAGACACAAATTCTGACAGGCTTTTCGCTTTTCAAACTTCCAGATTATGGCCATTTCACATTGCGGCATCTCATCGACGACCACAAAGTCCATGAGCATTGTACAGTGCTTGCGGTAAGTTTGTCTTAAATTAAAGCTTACAATCACTTTAAAATTTATCGATAATAAATTTGCTATCGATTGTGCTTTGAGGTGCACCATAGAGATATTCTCTATATTATTGTATTTTCCACAACTGTTTTTCCAGTTGAACTCTGAAAACTTGTCTCAAACTTCAGTTAATTTGGAAATTAGAAATATCACTTGAATAAACTGCGCGTAGCTTTCAAGTTGGAGTTGAAAATGAACCACTTATTTGCTCAATATTGAACTAGTATTAGTTCAGCTTGGCACATTTTGCAACACTGGAATTGTAAATGTACTATTTTTGAACTATTCCCCACACTTCTACAATTCTATATGTATTATATATCTTACCCTCAACTAGATACATTGTCCAGAATGAAGGTCCCCGCGCACTTTTCAAA